ACCAACATCTTGTCTTCCACATCTAATTCACGGGATCTCCTATCACAAAGAATAGGTTACCACTGTGAACAACTCATATTGTGGGTCTCATACCCATCTCCCTCGATGCATTATCTATCACATTACGTGATAGACCCTTAGTAAAAGGATCTGCTAGATTTTTAGACGTTTGGATATAATCCAATGCAATAACTCTGGAGTTTCTCATTTTTCTGATAGACTTTAACCTTCTCTGAACGTGTCTTGATGACTTCATGTTAACCTTTGAGCTTCTCACTTTCGTGATCACAGTTTGATTATCGCAGTTCATAAGGATGCCCAGTACAGGTTTCTCAACAACCGGCAAGTCATTCAAGAGCCGGTGAAGCCAATCTGCTTCGACCGTAGCTGTATCTAGTGATGTGAGTTCTGCTTCCATTGTTGACCTCGTTAAGATGGTATGCTTGCAAGACTTCCATGAAAAAGCACCACCTCCATGAGTGAATACATATCCTCTCATGGCCTTTATCTCATCAGCATCTGAGATCCAGTTTGAGTCACTATACCCTTCAAGCACCTTTGGGTGCCTAGTGTAGTGAATTCATAATTCGCAATGCCTTTCAAATAACGCAAAACTCTCTCTAGAGCTTTCCAATGCACATCTCCTCGTTTTGAGACAAACCGGCTCAGTTTGCTAACAACAAAACAGATCTCAGGTCTTGTAGCACTGGTTAAATACATAAGTGAGCCAATAATCTGAGAATATTTCAATTGGTCTCTAGCAATTCTTCTTTCGAAGCAACACACTATCATCATATGGTGTTGCAGAGGGCTTCCGGTCACTGTAGCAAAAGCGACTCAAGATCTTTTCCACATAATGAGATTGAAGCAATGTAATCCCACCATCACCGTCTCTCAACAACTTCATGTTCAGAATGACATCAGCCACTCCTAAATCCTTCATCTCAAAGCAACGAGATAGGAAATCCTTGACCTCCTTAATAACCTTCAGATTTGTTCTGAAAGTCAGTATGTCATCAACATACAAGCAAAGGATAACTCCCTCGCCCCCACCATGGCGATAGTACACACATTTAGCAGCTTCGTTTACAACAAAGCCTGCGGCTCTTAAAGTTCTTTCAAACTTCTCATGCCACTGCTTGGGTGCTTGCTTAAGTCCATACAAAGGCTTCAGCAACTTGCACACGTTTCCTTCCTGGCCATCTACTACAAACCCATTTGGTTGTTCCATATAAATTTCCTCTTCCAACTCTCAATTTAGGGAAGCAGTCTTAACATCCATTTGATGAACGAGAAGACCATGTGAGGCGGCTAGTGAAAGTAGTACTCGAATAGTGGTTAGTCATGCCACAGGTGAGTAAGTATCAAAGAAGTCTTCACCTTCCTTTTGAGTATATCTCTTAGCCACGAGCTGTGCCTTGTACTTTTCGATAGTACCATCAGGCCTAAGCTTTTTCTTGGATACCCATTTGCACCCTATAGGTTTGCACCCATAAGGACAATCAATTATCTCCCAAGTTTCATTTGCCAAGATGGAATCCATCTCACTATGGACCGCTTCCTTCCAGTAGTCAACATCTTCAGATGCATATGCCTCTGAAATAGAACTGGGAGTGTCATCTATGAGATACACAAAAAAATCATCACCAGAGGACTTTGCAATCCTCTGTCTCTTGCTCCTAGTAGGAACTTCATTGTTCTCCTCCACAGGACTTTCAAAGTGTTCCATATAAATGGCAGGTTCAGTAATTGTAACTGGTTCCTGGTTCGATGAACTAGGCATCTCCTGATTAGATGAGGTAGCCATATCCTTCATGGGAAAGATATCTTCAAATAAAGTCGCAACATTCGACTCCATGATCGTACCGACATGCATGTCAGGTACCTTAGATTTTACAACCAAGAATCTATAAACAATGCTATGAAAAGCATATCCCAGGAAAACACAATCCACAATTTTTGGTCCCAACTTCCGCTTCTTTGGAATTGGCACATTGACTTTCGCCAAACAACCCCAGGTTTGTAGACAAGAGAGCTTTAACCTTTTCTTCTCCCATTCCTCGAATGGAGTCATCTCTTTGTTCTTTGTGGGAACTCGGTTTAGGACATGACATGCAGTCAATATCGCCGCCCCCACCATGCCTTGGAGAGACCCGATGTGTATAACATGGCGTTAACCAAATCAGTTAGAGTACGGTTCTTTCTTTCGGCCACCCCATTTGACTGAGGTGAATAGGGATGTGTCCTCTCATGGATTATACCATGTTCCGCACAAAAAGAATCAAATTCATTTGAGAAATACTCTCCACCACGATCGGACCTAAGCCTCTTGATCTTTCGATCAAGTTGGTTTTCCGCTTTAGCTTTATAGATCTTGAAATAGTTCAAAGCCTCATCCTTAGATTTCAGAAGATACACATGACAATAACTAGTGGAGTCATCAATTAACGTCATAAAATACTTCTTTCCACCTTTTGTCAAAACACCATTTATTTCACATAGATCTGAATGTATGAGCTCTAGTGGTGCAAGATTTCTCGTTTCCGCAGTCACATGAGACTTACGAGGTTGCTTAGCTTGCACACACACTTAACACTTACATCCCTTGACAGTGGTGAAACTAGGGATTAAGTTTAACTTTATTAGTTGTGACATGCAACCAAAGTTAACATGACAGAGACGTGAATGCCACACATTTGATTCACTATTGTTGCAAACATGATTAACAACTTTATTGCAAGCGTCTAATAAGGATAAACGAAACAGGCCTCCTGACTCATAGCCTTTACCAACAAATGTTCCATACTTGGATATTACAAATTTATTCGACTCAAAGACAAGCTTGTAGCCATCTCTACACAGAAGAGATCCGCTAACAAGATTTTTATTGACGGCGGGGACATAATGCACGTTCTTCAGCCACACGATCTTCCCTCAAGTAAACTTTAGATCGACCGTGGCAACACCACGAACAAAAGCACTTGAACCGTTGCCCACTAACACGGTGGAAGTCTCTACGGTCTGATAAGACGAAAACATGGAAATATCACCGCATACATGCACATTAGCACTCGCGTCAATTAACCTATCAGGAGAATGACATACTGAAAGAATAGTGGGAAATATACCATACCCAGCATTCTTCATGTCAGTGCCTCCAGTGACAACATTAGCGGTCTTGCCACCTTTTCCAAGATGACGCTTGTCATAACGATTAGGGCAACTAGGAGCCCAATGATCAGGATCTCCACACACATGACAAACATTTATTCTTGTCATTCTTCTTCTTGAAGTTCGTGTGATGTACAGCCTTGTTCTTTCCATCAAACTTTGCCTTACCATCAAACTTGCCCTTGTTTTTGAACTTGTGGGTCTGGAAGTTTTTCTTCTGTACCAGATTGGCACTAGAACCGCCCTCAATACCTCGAGCATGGTTGTCCTTTGCTCTCGCCTTTTCTTCCACATCAAGAGTACCAATGAGATCCGAAACGGAAAACTCCTGCCTCTTATGGTTTAGTAAGGTAGCAAAGTTCCTCCACGTGGGAGGAAGCTTAGTAATGATACCTTCGGCTATAAACTTGTCTGTATACTAATTGAAGTGCTCAAGTTCTCTAGCAAATGACTATATCTCATGAGCTTGCTCAACCACTGAGCGCTCTTTAGTCATCCTGTAACCATAGAATTGCTCCATGATGTACAACTCAGTGCCAGCATCCGAGACCTCAAACTTGGCCTCGAGTGCGTCCACCATATCTTTTTTATTATCAATTGACACATAAGCATCAACTATGTTCTCACCAAGAACACTCAAAAGAGCAGCCTTAAACAGAGTATCCATTTTCTAAAAAGCTTGTACCTATTGAGCATCATACTCTCCTTTAGGTTTACCAAGAGTGGCGTCATAGCAGCTCATGGTTTGAAACCATAGAACTGCTCTCACACGCCACCTCCTATAGTGGATACCCTCAAACATACGAGGTCTCATGGAAGCAGCAAAACCACTCGGGGTAAATTGCCTATAATAAGGTTTTTGGATTGTTGGAAATATGAGCAATTTACCATATGATTTTATTAATGGAAATACTAGATAAAGCATGACTAAAATAGCAGAGATAAAGCAAGTCATGCGATCTGACAGAGAGAGGTAAATAACATCTGCAAATATGAACCAGAACTGAACATATCTAGAGCAGAGAGTAGAACAAGGAACTGTGACAGGACCTCTAACAGGAAAAGCAAGAACACATACGGGACAGCAGCAGCAGTAACAGTAGCACTGGACTTGGGGTCGGTGTCCTCGGTAGCCATGTCGTCGAGGAGGTTGTTGACGTTGGGGAAGAAGTCATCGTCGGGGAAGTAGTCGTCGGAGTCCGGGGCGTCTGTGACAAAGAAGTCAGTAGTCACGCTGAGCGCTCCCCAAAAAACTTATCACAACGAGGGAGCGGAAACAAACCGGCAGCAGCCGAAGGGTGCAACGTTCATATTCAGTATCCACTACAGCAAAAACTTCCAGCTCCCGAGTGACCTTTCGTATACTCGTAGTGGGCTCGGCTCATTTCCGCAACCCGCGGCGTGGCACGTCGTGATGAGGCATGGCAAGGCGGGCGGTGGAGGAGGAGCGCGCGTGGATGTCCCTCTTGTTCTCATGCTTATACAAGTGGGGAAAGAACCTCCCTTATAATGCGGTCCAACTCCCTCTAAACTAGCAATGTGGGACTAAACTTTAGTTCCACCTCTTGCCTTGCATGAATGGGCTGCGTGGGCCTCTAGGATTTATTAGGAATTTCTGAAACTGCTATTCGGCTGGGCCCAAAATAGACAAAATTCCAGCAGCGTGTACTTAAGACATGTCGACAAAAGCATGGCCCTCCACGAGTTCCACGAGTGAAATTTTGAATGATGTTAGTTCCACGAGTGACACGAACGCATGCTATATAAATCTTCGTAGTCAGCTGAGCAATGTACACCCACTACACAGACCTCAGAGTGATAGAGAAAGAATGGCAGCTCACATGAGAATCCCCACCGACACCCAGCCAATCAAGGCGCAGGCTGACCTGCAGCGCCATAGCCTCACCTACCTGACGTCCATGTCACTCAGGTGCGCCATCGAACTCGGCATCCCGACGATGATCCAGCGCCTTGGCGACACCGCGTCGTTGCCCGACCTGATGGCCGCTCTGTCCCTTCCACCACCCAAGGCGCCGTTTCTCAGCTGCGTCCTGTAGCTGCTGGCCAAATCTGACGCCCTGACGTGCAACGAGGCCGGGATCTCAGCCTCACCCCGCTGTCCTACATCCATCCTCGTGGATGGCATACTCATCGACGGAGAGGCTAGGCAGATAGCCTTCCCGCTGGCCGTGACGTCGCGGTATCACATGGAGTCTGATTTAGGCCTGGCCGATTGGTTCAAGAATGATCGTGCACTACCGGTGCCATCTTCATTTGAGCATGTCCATGCGGCGGCACCCTTCGATGAGAGTATGACGCTCCTCGATCCTGAGACCGACAACCTGTTCTATGAAGCTTTGGCCGCCCATGACCATATGTTTTTTTTGAAACGAGGCAAAAGACTTGCCATTTCATTGATTAAGAAGAAGAGAATTGCCCCGTTAATTGACGGAAAACCGGGCTAAAACCGATACAACTCAACCCATATGACATGGGCACCACCGGTCAACCTGGCCACCGACAAGAAACTCGGGGCTACAAAAAAGAAAGACATCCGCCAAGGAGTCGCAAGCGTCATCGTCGACACCGGTTGCCTCGAACGGGCGACTCCGACTTCACCGTAGAGCTCCACCATCGAAGTCAACCCGCAAACAGCCGCCAAAGCCACGACGGCACATGCCAACAGATGGCCACACGCGCAAGCAACCGTCAGCTCCGACTTTGACGACGAGTTTCGAAAGGGAAATATGCAGGACTTGCGCCGAGCGTGCCCTCCATAACGGAAGGGCACCTCAGACACGCCGGGAAGAACCGACTACCGCAGTCCATGCTGCGACCCGAGCTCCTCTCAACGCCATCATCGTTGCCAAAACAGAAACCAACGCCCCGCCTCAGCAAGCCACGCAGCGAAGATGCCGCCATCCACCGGTCTCCAGTCGTAGCCGGCTCCGAGACGATGCCCCCAAGGAGGAGAAAGACGCGAAGACGCCCCCATCGTCCGATCCAGCTGATCTGAGGTTTCCCTCCGGAGCCAATGCCATGGAGAGGAGGAGCACAGCTCCAAGACGACGCTTTCAAGAAAGGTAACGACACCCGCGGGCGCTGCCGTCGCCGGCTCCGATGAAGATCGGAACAAGGATTTCTCCCAGAGTTGTGCCACCATCAATCGCCACCGACCGCCGCCCACGCTCCACCATCCCAGCCGAGGTCGACCTCACTCTGACCGCGGGATCCCACGATCCACCGCGCCCAGATACGCACCACCCCCTGGCCGTAGCCGCCAACCACCACCGCAGCACCGTCGCGGCCACCACCACCGCAGCAACCACCTGCATCGCAAGGAGCAGCAACCAGAACGGAGCACCGAGACGCCAGATCCAGATCGAACCGCTCGAACGAAGCATCTGAGCAGGAGCCAGCACTCCACACGCAGCACACCTCGCGCTACAGGGACGTCAAGCCCGCCACGCCCAGCAGTCGCTGCGCGCGCCGCGCGCCGGTCGCCGCCGCGCCCGCCGCCGG